TTTACAAATAACTTTTTGAAAAAGAACAGTGATATAGGGCCGGCCAAATAGCTCAGTGGATTAAAGCGCCTACAAGCAGGTGCAGGGGCCGCCCCAACCCCCGAGATGTGTTGAGACAGCAATTGAGACTGGGCGTGGTGGCACATGCCTGTAGTCCCAGCTCTCAGGAGGCTGTAAGTAGGCAGATCACTATGAGTCCAATCTAGTAATGAGACCCTGAACACCCTGTAGACCCTTCCCTAAAAATACAAAAAAAAAAAAAAAGAAAAAGAGCAGTGATAAACAGTGAAAGAGAACAAGTTTATGTATGATAATGGTAAATTACAAAGGACAGTGATATTTTCTGAGAATTTATATTTTGAACTATCACCTTAACCTTTTACATGTTTTCAGATGGAAAGGTTGTTTTGTTTTATTTTTTGGGCTAGGGAGATAGCTCAGCGGCATAAGTACCTGTCTGGCAAGGGCATAGTCCTGAATGCGACCCCCCAGTACCAAAAACCAAAAAAGAATGAAACTATTTTATTTTTTTTCTGGTGCTGGAAAACCTCACACACACTAAGCGGGTACTTTACCCCTGAGCTGTGCCTGGCCCCGAGTGGGGCATAAGGTCTCATCATCTGCTATGGATGGTCTTCTTAGAGAAAAAACCTTTATGTTAGGGATTTGTAATCATTTTAATGGTTGTAGACAAAACTTAGCAAATGTTTTTAATGTTATTACATTTTTGTACTAAAAAGAATCTTTAAACTTTTTTTTTTTTTTTTTTTGGTGGAATGGGGGATTGAACTCAGACCCTTGTGCTTGCCAGGGAAGCGCTTATTCTACTGAGCCATCTCCCTGGCCCCTAAACTTTTTTTAAGAAACAAATACACTTCCGGTGTAGTGGTATATACTTCATCCCAGTGGCTTAAGAGGCTGAAGCAGAGAATTCCAAGTTTGAGCCCAGCTAGGGCGGCTCAGTGACCCCGTCATAGGATGAAGACCCTCCATGAAATCCTGGCATATAGAGAGGACGCTCTGAGGGTCTTTGACGTGTTACACATCCTTAGTTGATGAATGCATTTCTAAACCTGATCAGAGTCTGTTAATGGCTCCTCATAAGCACAATCTGAAGAAACAGTTCTAATTGGGACTGATTGATAATGTGGTTTGAAGATGATTTTTTTTTCTTTTTTTTGCAGCAAACTCTACGTAACTTATTGAGCAAGGTTTCTCCTTCCTTTTCCCCTGAACTTACACAATTAAATCAACAACATGAAAAATTATTTCATAAATGGATGCTGCAGTTACAGTAAGTATTGCTGGTTTCTTGTTTGTTTTTATCTCTTTGAGACAGGGGCTTGCTATGCAGTTCATACCGGCCTTGAGCTCACTTTGTAGCCAGGCTGGTTTTGAGCTTGCAGTGATCCTCCTGCCTTAGCCTCCTGAATACAGGATTACAGATGTGTGCTGCCACACCCAGCTCTTGTATTTTGTTTTGTTTTGTTTTTGTTTTGAGACAGGGTCTCATCTATGTAGTTCAGGCTGGCCTTGAATTCATGGCTCTCCTGCCTCAACCTCCTGAGTACTAGGATTGCAGGTGTATGCCACTATACCCAGCTCAGTGTTACTGTAAACCTTTGAAAAAAAAAAAAAGAAAAAAAAAAAACCTCCTAGTACTCAGGAGGTTGTTTTTACAATTAACTTGATACATTTATTTACATTAAAAATAAAATATATTTTACAGTTTTATGATTCAGATATAGAAATATTACTTTATTGTTTATCTTTTCATAAATTTTTGTTTTTAAAAATGTGTCACTGGGGGGCTGGGGAGATGGCTCAGTAGAATAAGCGCTTCCCTGGCAAGCTCAAGGGCCTGAGTTCAATCCCCGGTTCTGCAAAAAAAAAAAAAAAAAGTGTCACTGGGCATAGTGACACATGCCTGTAATCCCAGCACTTAGGAGGCTGAGGCACATAGATTCCTTCAAGTTCCAGTCCAACCTGGGCTACAGAGTGAGTTCAAGTCCAGCCTGAACAGCATAGGGAGACCCTACACTTTTGCTATCAAAAAGACCTAAATAAGGGCCAGCCAAAGAACTCAGTGGATTAAAAAGTGCCTACAAGCAGGCGCAGGGGCTAGGGGTTCGATGATACCTGGGCCTGCCATGCCAGCCCCGCCCTGGAGCACAGAGATGGTGCTTGAGACTGGGGGTGGTGGCACGCGCCTGTAATCCCAGTTCTTTGGAGGCTGTAAGCAGGAGGATCACTATGAATCTGATCTAATAGTGAGACCCTGAACACCCTGTAGACCCTTCCCTAAAATAACAGAAGAAGAAAAAAAAAACCTAAATAGGATCAAAAGCCTAAAGAATTTAAAAATAAGTGAATAAAAATGTATGTCATCAAATTAATAGCTCTCAGATTATTATCCAGTTTTTCATAGTAAAGCTTCTAAGATGAAAGCATATATATATATATATTTTTTCTTTTTGTGTAACTATATAATATATACATTCAAAATTTCATGAAATCTCTTCTGTGAACATTTTACTGTTTTAAAAGTTATTTATTTACTTATTTACTTATTTATTTTGCGGTACTGGGGATTGAACTCAAGACCTTGTGCTTGCCAAGCAAGTGCTTATTCTACTGAGCTATCTCCCTGGTCCAAAAATTACTATTTCTTAGAATACTCTCGGTATTCGAATATTGCAGATTAGCTTTTCAGTTGCTGTTAGAGCACCGAGAAGTGGCCAAGATCAAATCCTAGTGATGACTTTCCTCTCTTGCTTGCATTAGAAGGACTTCAGCTGGGTGTGGTGTCTCAGGACACTGAGGCAGAAGGACTGAAAATTCAAGACTAACCTGGTCTACAAACAGACCCCATCTCAAACAAAAAAAGAAAAAAAAAACGGGCCAAAAAACAACAGCAGGAAATGCTAGAAGTGCACTTTGGCGTGAAGTTGCCCACACATTCAGAGGAGTCGTCCTCAGGATCAGTGAGGCAGGGTCCCCAAGCACAGCGTGACATGGCTGCCCCAGCGTGCTTGGGTTTTCCTGGGAGCTATGTTGTGCTGAGAAGAGGGTGATGGTTGCGCCGCGGGGCCTCGCTGTCTCAGGAGCCGCTTGTGGAGCTGAGTTCTGCACTCCTCTCCCGCACCCACCCCCTGCAGCCAATTCTTCTTTCCCAGGAAGCCAGCCCAATGGTCTCTTTGCCCCCAGCCAGACCTGCCCTTGCTGTTCTCCACCTCCCAGGGCTGTCTCTCTGCTGCTCCCCTGTGACTCAGCTGTCATGCATTGCCAGAGACCACCCTCTGCCACCTTGGCGCTGGCCCTGGGTCCCCTCCTCTCTACACTTCCCTCATGCCCTGACCTCACCTGGCGCAGCAGGAATATTAGTCTGAGTGCGGGTTGGAAGCTTCTCCTTGGGCTCCCTTAGGAAAGTCAATGGAGATCAGATAGAGTTCATCTTTTGATACCCATTGAGGCCACAGAAGGGTCTGGGATGGAGCTAAGTAGTGTGGCACATGAGGCCTTGGATCCAGAGTACTCTCCTCTGAAACCTGTCATTCTACCTGCCCATCCAGGCAGTGAAAAATACCTCTGACTTACACATTTGCCTCTTTAGCAGAAAGTCAGCTCACCTTGAACATGCTCTTGCTTGCCTTCTTCCACCATGAACCAGTCTCCAGGTCACTGAGGCCAGCGCATTTTTCATCTTAGGCAACCTCACCCTCTTCTTTCCCATCCATTCCCGAGGGCGCTGCATGACTTCCTAAAAGATATGTGGCTGTCCCACTGGAAACCTTCCAGCTACCACTTCATAAGCTTAAAGTAAAGAAATTGTTTGATAACAAAACTTGGTGGTAAAAAGTTCAAATGGTGAATTTTCTGAATGTTCTTTCCCAACAGCCTTGGCTTCAACATTGTGCTTTATGGTTTGGGCTCTAAGAGAGATTTACTAGAAAGATTCCGAACCACGATGCTTCAGGACTCCATTCATGTTGTCATCAATGGCTTCTTCCCTGGGATCAGTGTAAAGTCAGTAAGTTTCAAAAATGCTCAAGGTCAATCCCTGGTTCTGAAAAAAAAAAAGCTCAAGGGACAATACTGCTGGGCTACCCGTCCAGCCCTGAGCGTGCTTTCTTGTCCTAGGACAGGAACTCAAAGGACGTCTCAGCCTTCACACTTGATAGATTATGAAGTATGGAAGGACTCAGAAGGACCTCATTTAAACTGTCTTCAGGGGCCGAGGAGATAGCTCAGTGGCGTAAGTGCCTGCCTAGCAAGCACAAGGTCCTGAGTTCAATTCCTAGTACCAAAGAAATAAAATAACATAACATAAAATAATAAAATAATTCTGGGGGGCCTGCCCATTAGCTGAAGTGTTTAAGTGCGTGCTGAAACAAAGCAGTCAGGCTCAGGATGCTGTGGTTTGATCCCCTCATCCTCAAGCCAAATCAGACCTGCCCTGAAGGCAACCTGAGCACCCCCCCAAAAAAAACAAATGAATAAATGAATAAAATAATTCTGTCTTTGAAAGCCCAGCTGTATAACCAACTGATGTGTATTATAGTTTAGGAAATGTTAGCTAAAAAGCAAAAGTCTATAATTTACACATGTTTATCACGGGTCATCTTCATATGCTCCATTTCTCTATCATTTAAGAATTAATTTAAAGCTGTTAGATGTTAGATATTAACCAATGAAGTGTTCCTTTCTTGAAGCATCCTTAGGGTATGTATGCTGTTTCCTCTGATAAATATGTAGTGTTCTAATTTTCTCACAGTTGGGGGTTATTGCTAGGTTTTTTTTTTGTTTGTTTGTTTGTTTGTTTTTTTGGTGCAACTGGAGATTGAACTCAGGCCCTTGTGCTTGCCAGGAAAGTGCTTATTCCACTGAGCCATCTCCCCGGCCCCTTTTCTTAGTTTTTGTTGCCTATTTACTTTATCTTTACACCTTTACTCCCCTTCACTGTTTCCTTGAAGTCACAGCTCATGCAAAAAATAAATAAATAAATAAAATAAAAAGAATTTGTACTTAAGTATCCATTAGAATTTTTTTTTTTTTCTTTCTCTTTTTTCTTTGGTACTGGGATTGAACTCTGGACTTGGCACTTGCCAGGCAGGCACTTATCCAGTAGAATGTTTTGGATTTTATTTTTTTATTTTTTTTTTTTTTGGGCTGGCTCAGAATGCCTTCAGGGCATGTTTGGCTGGCTGGAGTTGTGGGGATCGTACCACAGCAACCTGAGGCTGACTGCTTTGTTGAATCAGCCACTTAAACAACTGAGCTAAGGGGCAGGCCCCTCCACTAGAATGTTTTAAAGTGAGTTTTAGATTAAATAACAAGTCCAGGGCTGAGTAGATAGCTCAGTGGTCTAAGCACCTGCCTGGCAAGTGCAAGGACCCGGGTTTGGTCCCCTGTCCCACGTACGATGCCAGCCCTGCACAGAGCCGAGCTGGCCTCCAAAACCTGGTATGGTGGTTCACACTTGTAATCCCAGCACTGGGGAGGCTGAGACAGGAGGATCACTATGAGTCCATGCTGTGTAGCAAGATCCTGTACCAAACACATTTAAAAAAGAAAGATTTTTTAAAATTAATATTGAAATTTTTTTTAAAAAGTCCAGAACAGGGGCCGGGGAGATGGCTCAGTGGAATAAGCACTTCCCTGGCAAGCACAAGGGCCTGAGTTCAATCCTCGGTTCCGAAAAAAAAATGTCCAGAACAACTTTTATTTTATTTTATTTTTTATTGAGAAATAAGTATGAATGAGACAGTTTCACAGCTGATTAATAGGATAGTTTTGATAATCAATACACTGTACATTGTTATCTTCTTAGTGGTTATCCATAGTACAAGAAGCAGACAGGATATTCTGTCCAAACACTGTTAGTACACCTTTCTTATTGAGTTAAGTGAAAGTAGCTGTAAATTTATCCTATTTTGTATATATAAATACAAAATGATCTTTCCTTTGTATCCTTTTTTTAATCTTAATTTTTATTTATTTATTTATTTATTTTTTTGTCCTGTCAGAGGTGAATATTCGATTGGCATCTAAATACTATAGGGGTTTGAATTCAACTAAATGATCTAACACTGTCTAGCAGCAGTCTATATTAGTGGGTTATCCTCAGAAGTTATTCACTTAAGCCTTTTACAGCTCATCATATTAATATGGATTTACTTTCTCAGAACAACTTTTGGGGCCGGAGAGATAGCTCAGAACAACTTTTAATCTGTAAGAAGGATTGATTTGCTAGCTGCACTTGTCCTGTATGTCAGAGTAATGATTGTTGTGGTGCCTCTCGTGCTTTCGTGGTGCAGATCCTGAACTCTGTAACAGAAGACATCCTTGGTCATACGGGCACTTTCCGAAGCGTTCTGGATCAGCTAGACTGGATCGTAAACAGATTTAAAGAAGGTAACATGAAGTAAATGATTTGTAGCTTTGAGGGGTAAACATTGTCTGCATCGGCACAGATGAGAATGATTATCACTTTGGTGATCATTTATACGCTGCTCGTGCTTGGCTGTTGGGGCGCTAATTTGCAGTCCTGCCCAGCCTCCCTGGGTGTGGGACTAGAGGTATGTGCCATCATGCCTGGCCTGCCCACCTTGTTTTGTTTGTTTGTTTGTTTACCTATTTCTTTTACTAAAACCATTTGTGGCTGGCCACCTGTCGTTGTCTGCAGCCCATGCCTTGCTTCAGTCCCTAAGATACATAAGAGGGCAGGGCAGCCTCACCCTGCACTGTTCTCTGACTCCTTCCTGGGGACCTGGGGAGCCCCTGAGCTCTCCGTGCTTTGTCTCCTTCGGTCCTGCCACGGCTTCCTGCGAAGTCCTTTTCTTCTGTCTTAAAAGCCCTGTGTGGTGTCCCGGGGGTGCCTGCCCTGCCGTGCCGCGCGTGCACACCTGCACCTGCTGCTGGCTGGTGCTCACACCTTGCTGAGGGTGCGGTCCGGGGTCGAGCATGTGGTGCATGTGTGAAGCCCTGGCGTCTCCCCAGCACCACCACCACAAGAATCTTTCACTGGGCCTGCCTGAGGTTCTGGAGATTGAGCCCACGAGCTCAGTCCTCACCCTACTTCTTCCTTCCCTCATTCATTCATTTCTGGTTTATTGAGCCAGGGTCTCACTCTGCAGTACAGGCTGGTTTTGAACTCCCTATGTAACCCAGGCTGGCCTCAAACTCATGATGATCCTTCTGCCTCAATCTCTGAACTGTTAGGATTACAGGCATATGCCACATGCCCAGTTTATTTTTTATTTAGAGACAGTCTCATATAGTTGTCCAGGCTGGGCTTAAACTTGCAGTGTCCTGCTTCAGCCTCTCAAGAGTGCTGGCTTACAGGCATGTGCCACCATGCCCAGCTTGACAATGTTATTTATCCTGTTTATTTACAATAAATAACTACTATTATTTACACTTTTCTGTATTTATTGTTTATTATTTGTAAATAATTTTATTTATTGTTTATTTGTTTGTTTTTGAGACAGGATTTCGCTATGCAGTCCAGACGTGCCTTTAACTCACTGTGTAGCCCAGACTGGCTCAAACTCACAGCAGCCGTACTTCAGCCTCCCACGTGCTGGCGTCCCATCCTGCTCGCATGCACTTCACTACCCAGGCATTTGTGTGTGGTAGAGACTTCACAGGTACTTACTGAATGTTATAGTTGGATTCCCTTTCCTTTCAGATTCTTCTTTAGAACTCTTCCTTGTTATCCACAACTTGGACAGCCAAATGTTGAGAGGAGACAAGAGCCAGCAGATCATTGGACAGCTGTCGTCTTTGCGTAATGTGTTCCTAATCGCCTCTGTTGATCACCTCAATGCTCCTCTTAGTAAGTCACGTCTCGCTGCTGTCTTTATTCCTTTTTTCTTTTCTTTTTTCCGGAACCGGGGATTGAACTCAGGCCCTTGCACTTGCCAGGCAAGCGCTTATTCACTGAGCTATCTCCCCAGCTCCTGTTTTCCTTTCTTTTTGGTAGCCCAAATCAAACTTAGGACCTCATGCTTGCCAGGCAGGCTGTGCCATTGAGCTATCCTGGCCCACTACTTTTCTGATTAGTGTTACAAAGTTTTTTTTGTTATGTTTTAAGTATCTCCATACTTAAAGATACAGGTTGGGGCCAGGGAGATAGCTCAGTTGAATAAGCACTTCCCTGGCAAGTGCAAGGGCCTGAGTTCAATTCCTGGTTCTGGGAAAAAAAAAAAAAAGATACAGGCTGGATAATGTAGTGGTATATGCTTACAATCCAGTACAAAGTAAACTAAGGCAGAGGGTTCCTGAGTTCAAGACCCACCTGAGCTATTTATTGAGACCTTTTGTCAAAGGAAAAACAAACAGTTGGGGTATGAGGGCACATGCCTGTAATACCTCACAGTGGGAGGCTGAGGCAGAAGGATCTTTTTTAAAAGTTTATTTATTTATTTATTTTTGTATTTTTTAGGGAAGGGTCTACAGGGTGTTCAGGGTCTCACTACTAGATTGGACTCAGTGATCCGCCTGTTTACAGCCTTCCAAGAGCTGGGATTACAGGCGTGCCCAGCGCCACTATGCGCAGGTTCACTTGCCATCTCAGCACACCCCAGGGGCGGGACTGGCACAGCAGGCCTGGGGATTGAACCCATAGCCCCTGCACCTGTTTGCAGGTGCTTTAATCTGCTGAGCTTTTTCCCTAGCCTGAGGCAGAAGGATCTTAATTAGACCCTGTCTCAAAATTTTAAAGATTTTCAAAAGGGCTGGGAATTGGTACACATCTGTAATCCCAATACTCAGGAGGCTGAGGTATGAGAATTGTTGCAGGTTCAAGACCTGCCTGGGCTACAAAGTGAGCCCAAGGCCAGCCTGAACTGCATAGTGAAACCACCATCTCAAAAAGACCAAAAACAAAAACAAAAAAAGCTAAGGATATAGCTCATCAGGAAAGACCTAGATTTAAGACCCAGTACCAAAAAGAAAAAACACGTGCTCCTGCCACCTAAAAGATAGTTATACTTAGTTTAAATTAGTTCTTTTGTAGTATGGCAGATTGAACCAGGGAGCCCTAAACTACACCCCTGTGTTCTATTTTTATTTTATTTTGAGATAAGGTCTCACTCAGCAGTCCAGGCTGGCCTGGAATTGGTGATCTGCCAGTCTTAGGACCCTACACATGCCTCATAGTATCCAGCCACAACAGCATCCTTAAAAACAAAAGCTCACATACCAAGAAGGAGTGTTTTCGAGGAGAACTCACATAATAGTTGTTCAGGCCTCTTTGGGTTTTTTCTATTTTTATGTATTTGGTTGTTGCAGGGTCTCACTATGCAGCTCAGACTCTTGGTGATCTTCCTGCTTTCAGCCTCCCCAGTGCTGGGATTATAGGTGTACGCCACATGCCTGGACTCTGACCGGCTCAGCCCGCTTTGGGGGTGGGACTGGCGTGGCATGTGGTGCTGGGATCAAACTGCAGTTCCAGTGCTTGCCTAAGCAGGCCCTTTAGTCCACTGAGCTATCTTGCCAGATTCTTTGTACTCTTGGTTATTGCTCGCTCGCTCGCTCGCTCGCTCGCTCTCTTTCTTTCTTCCTTTCTTTCTTTCTTTCTTTCTTTCTTTCTTTCTTTCTTTCTTTCTTTCTTTTTTGCGAAGCTGAGGATTGAACTCAGGCCCTTGTGCTTGCCAGGGAAGCGCTTGTTCAGTTGAGCTATCTCCCTGACCCTTGTAGTGTGTCTTTTACAAACTTAATTCACATTCTTTGTGATGATGCTGCAGAACAGAATATTGAATTGCTGATTTTTAAAAGATGCTTGATGGGGCCGGGGAGATGGCTCAGTAGAATAAGCACTTCCCTGGCAAGCACAAGGGCCTGAGTTCAATCCCCGGTTCCACAAAAAAAAAAAAACTTGATATTTTATTGTGTATTGAATGAGCAAAGAAAGATTCAGCTGGGATTAAAGTGCCTGCAGAACAGGCACAGTGGTTGGTGGTTTGATCCCCAGGCGTACTGTGCTGGCCCCAGTCCCAGGGTATGCTGAGACAGCAATTGAGACTGGGTGTGGTGGTGCACAATCCCAGCTCTTGGGAGGCTGTAAACAGGCAGATCACTACAAATCCAATCTAGTAGTGAGACCCTAAACACGCTGTAGACCCTTCCCTAAAATACAAAAAATTAAAAAATAAAAAAGATTCAGCTATTAAACTGGGCATGGTGAATCCCAGCACTCAGGAGGCTGAGGCAGGAGGATCCTTGCGAGTTTAAGACCAGTCTAGGCTACAAAGTGAGCTCAAGGCCAACCCAAACTGTACAGGGAGACCAAGATTCAGATTTTGATTGACAGCGACCTCAGATTGTGAGTTACTGATTTGGACAAGGAATTGGTTAAAAATGAAGTTTTAGGAGTCTCTTTATTTAATGGTCTTCTGGAATGAAGTCTAATAAATGACAGCATGAAAACATTTTGTGATTCTTCTCTCTGCTCGTGCTAGTGTGGGATCACGCGAAACAGAGCCTTTACAACTGGCTGTGGTACGAGACGACCACATACAGGCCCTACACCGAGGAGACATCCTACGAGAACTCACTGCTGGTCACGCAGTCCGGCTCGCTCCCACTGAGCGCCCTGATGCACGTCTTGCGCAGCCTCACCCCCAACGCAAGGTGAGGAGGAAAAGGTTCCTCTTGAACAGCTGCACATTGCGGGCTAGGGCGCAGCCCAGGACTGCAGCACTTGCCTGGGCCCTGGACCCCATCCCCAGTGCTGTGAATAGATTAACTAAATAACGAAATACTAAAAATCGTCTTTCAAGTTGGATAGAAAATTCACTTTCTTAAACTCTAAGCAAGTGGCAGGTGGAACTGTCTTAGGGTGTAAGAGCAAAGCTTATTCAAAAAGCACGCTGGGCAGACGCATACGTGCCAGATAGCTCAGAGCTTTCCCGCTCAAGTTCGTCCCCTTCTTTTCCAGACACATAGCAATTAGGATTAATGTAAAACAGCAGCCAAAAGGGATGGTGGCCAGGACCTGGGGACACCTTAGTGATAGACTTGCCTGGCATGCACCAGGCCCTGGGTTCAGCACTGCAAAAACTGGGTCAAAAATAGATACCTCAATGTGTCCAACAGCCACAGCCCAGTGTCAGAACCAGCGGTTCCTCTGGCCCAGAGAGCTTATGCAGGTTTCACTGCTGGTAGGTGTGTGTGTGTGTGTGTGTGTGTGTGTGTGTGTGTGTGTGTGCAGCTGTGCGTTATGTGAGCCCTGAAATGCTAATTTTGATGAACTGTTGTTGGCCCTACAAACTGATTTGGGGGCCAGTGATTTAGCTCAACAGTAGAACACTTGCTTAGCATGCTTGAGTTCTGGATTTACCCCCAGCACTATAAAAAATTACTAATTTTTGCACTGAAGATAAGATTAGTATTGCAATAATACAAGAATATAGAATTATGCATTACATGGTTTTTCTTGCCCCTTCTGCCATGCTGAGGATCCAGCCAGGCCCTGGCATGTGCCCAGCTAGAGCTCTGCCCTCGGCTGTGCCCCTGCCCTGCTCTCATCAGCTGTGTTGGTGGAATTGGGCAGAGAAAAGGTCTGCCCTCCATTTGCAGCCGCACTTAGCATAAAGAACTACTGTGAGCTGGTGGAAGTCAGGTCCCGCAGCCTAAGAGTGCTGGAGCTGGTCGGGTGTGATGGTGCACACCTGTAATCACAGCACTCGGGAGGTTGTGGCAGGGGGGTTACTGACATGAGGGCAGCCTGGGCTACAGAGTGAGCTCAAGACTGGTGTAAACTCAGGATGAGACCCTGTCTCAAAAAGACAGAAATATAAATATAAATACATATATAGGCACTGACTACTTTGATACAGATAGTTTGTTGTTTTGTTTTTTTGGCGGAGGGGATGGGTGGCAGAACTGGAGATTAAAGTCAGGCCCTCACACTTGCCAGGCAAGCGCTTATCTACTGAGCCATGTCCCTGGCCCAAGATAGTTCTTATTTGGGCATACTTAAATATCTGAATTGTCAGCCACTGGCATTTTAAAAAATTTTTTTGGTACCAGGAATTGAACTTGCCAGGCAGACATTTATGCCACTGAGCTACATTCCTAGTCCACTTTTGTTAAATTTTAAGTTATTTTGAAATTTTGGTTCATTCTGCAAAGTTGGTGTGATCTAGTGTTTATTTGGTATGAATATGATTGACTAAGAATCTTCACCAGAATTTGCAGTAGTTACAAAGTGGTCATTCAGGAGGGTCAAAATGTGACTGTAGAATTATTCTTTTTTTTTTTGACTTTTTTATTTTTTTT